AGTGTGTAAATAGCAGTTAATACAAGGAAGTGTTGTGTGTTTACAGGAATCCTACAGGCAAGTCATGAAGATGAGGCCAAAGGACCTGTGGAAGCGATTGATGATCAAATTTCGTGGGGAGGAAGGTCTTGACTATGGAGGTGTTGCCAGGTGAACAGTCACTGCTGTCTCTGCCCCACACCTGCTGTCAGCCCTGGCTCTTACACTGCTCTCACATTCTTTTCTCTATCAGAATGTATGTCAGAATAATATATAGGTTTGGACACTCTTTTAAAAGAAACTGCATCAAAAAAGATCTCACTTATTAGAGGTTAATAAAAATGCAACTTACATATCACATCAGACATCTGTCCTACATGTGAGGCAGGTTTGGGTGTCTGTCAAAATTACTGTGTTTTTCTTTGGTTAGTAAAGTTTGGGTGTCTGAGAATTTATGCCAGTAAATACTTGGTTTGTGGCACAACCTTGAGCACAAAATATGCTCTATTGCAAATTGTCCCTGCAGTTAGAAGCAAAATGTTAGAAACCAGCAGCTGAGTAACCTCTGTCTGTCAATAGTCTGAGGTTACTTTGCTCTTACAAGAAGTGACATTCCCAATTCTCAGACCACTTACTGATTTCTGAACACACAATTAAAACTTGAACTAAATATATGCATTGCCTAAAGATGGTTTAGATGAAAAGCTTTGATTCTAACATCTCTGTAGTTTATTTGAGTGAATACATAGTGTCTTGTCTTGATGTGTAGTGGGTGAAGGAATTTCATAGTCAGAAACTCTTGGAAATAAGTAATCTGGAGAAAAATCTTGGAAAGCTGGGAAATCCATCAGCTCTCAGGTGCTGTGTTTACTGAGCCAGTACAGAATTCTGATTTCAGCCTTGTCTCAGCGTGTTCAGAGACAACATCCTTCACACTGGTGTTTAACAGTCAGATTGAACACCCAGACTACATTGCAGAGACTCTCAGGCCAGGAATGCTTTTGTCTATAAAGTACCAATCCATACTTTGTGTTCCCAGGGAGTGGCTCTACCTGTTGTCCCACGAGATGCTGAATCCATACTATGGGCTCTTCCAGTACTCCAGGGATGACATCTACACCCTGCAGATCAACCCTGACTCCGCAGTCAACCCGGTGAGGCTGGTGCTCTGCCCAGAGGGGAATCCTCCTCCTCCTGCAGAGGTTGTGCTCAGGGGCTGATCCTCACCCTGTGCTGCTGCACACGGAGCCTGTACAGCTCCGTGATAATTTGTTTTGCACCGATCAAAGAAACTTCTCAAATGTGTTCTTCATTTTCTCTGAGATGCAGATTTATGTTTCCTTTGGGAGAAATTAGAGTTTATTTTGATTCTTACTAGTAAGACTTCTGGACTGGAAGCAACATGCTCAGTGTGCTGTGTGTGAAACCCAAACACAAGTGTCTAGAGAAGGTTTGGGGTTGGGTTTTTTTTTCCCTTTTCTTTGTATTGAAATTTAGTTTCATACTTAGCAGCTGTCACCTGGAGGTCTGAGGTAGCTGAGTGGCTTTGCCTGTGCCCTCTGTTGCAGGAACACCTGTCCTATTTCCACTTTGTGGGCCGGATCATGGGCATGGCTGTGTTCCACGGGCACTACATCGACGGTGGCTTCACACTGCCTTTCTACAAACAGCTGCTTGGGAAGCCAATTACTCTGGATGACATGGAGTTGGTTGACCCTGATCTTCATAACAGCTTAGTCTGGATACTGTATGTATTACCTCAGGATGTTAGACTGACAAGTTATGTGATAATGGTCTTAAATCCAGTGAAAATGAAGTGTATTTTGGTCTCCTGCTCAGACAGATCTAAGAAATGTCTTTCTTGCACAATTCAGCTTCTTTAAGGCTGAAAATTTCAATTTGGGGGGTGGGGAGGAGCTAGTTTGTTAACTTTGCCTATTATTTAATTTATTAATAAAATACAACATTGAAACTCTGATAATGGTTTTAAAATATAACCTGGTAAAACTATATGTTCACCTTCAGCTTCCAGGCAGTACTTTGAAATGCCACTGAGAAATGAAACTGTGCTTCTGTCAGATAGATTATGGCTGTAACAGGTTTGCAGATATGTTTTCACTCAATCACTTGCTGATTTCTTTCCACCAGTGAGAATGATATCACAGGAGTGTTGGACCATACGTTCTGTGTGGAGCACAATGCCTATGGGGAGATTATTCAGCACGAGCTGAAACCCAATGGGAAGAGCATCCCTGTGACAGAGGAGAACAAAAAGGAATATGTCAGGTACATCAACAGCTTCTTCCAGAGTTGGTTTATATTTCCTAATGTGGGGAGGAACCTTCAGTTAATGAAGCAATTGTCAGTGTTGTTTTGCTGATTTTTTTCCTGAGGAGTGGTGTGTGTTATCCTGTCAGTGAGGCTGTTTGGGGGCTGGAGGAATTGCAGGTTTATTGCATTGGAATCATCTCTCCCAAACCCAATTTGTACTTGCTCTCAGGCTCTATGTGAACTGGAGGTTTTTACGAGGGATCGAAGCTCAGTTCCTGGCACTGCAGAAGGGATTTAATGAAGTAATCCCACAACATCTGCTGAAGACATTTGATGAGAAGGAGTTAGAGGTCAGTGCACCAATGTTATGTTACGTGGTGCAGTGTAACAACAAAAGGCTGAGGATTCCTCAGAGCCTGAGTAACACAGAGCTGTGTCCCAGCCCTGGGGCTGCAGGTGTGTCCTGCACGGGGCAGAGTCAGGGTGAGGAGCACCAGGGCAGGCTGTGTGTGCCTTCCCTGGGAGCTGTGCAGAGTCTCTGAAGGTGACAACTCACAGCAAGTGCAGTGGTGGGAGAGCTTTTCCTGCACCTGAACCCTGGGCTGAGCCTGCTGAGCTGTACCTGCAGTGCCTCGAGTTGTTTGGGCACTGCTGCTTCAGTACAGAGTTCTCACACTGCAGTTCTGTGCTATTCAATTCAGTGCTGCCAGGAAAATAGTCTGTCACTGCCTCCCACCACTGCTGTCAGGCACCTGGGGGGGTTGGCAGGGCTGAGTTTTGCCAGACTCCACTGGCCCTGTAAATCCTGCAGAAGGAAAGGTGCTGTCACAGACTAATGTGCTACAGAATGTCCAGATCAGCATCCAAATAATGCAATCTGAAGGCAAACCCCACAGATCCCCAGCCTGTTTTAGACTGAGGTGTGATGTACAGCCTGTCAGCTGTGGGCCTGAGGTTTTTTACTTAGGTAAATTATTCACGTGTGCTGCTGTTCCCTGGCTCCAGTGTCAGTGGCTGCTCCTCCTGCAGCCCAGTGTGCTCCTTCCCAGCACTGAGCCAGCCATGCTGCTAGCCCAGAATCGTTTTGCAGCTGCAGAGTAACAAAGGGGGGAAGGTCTAATGTTCTTAGTCACAAGAAAATGTCTTCAGAATTGAATCCCCATTGAGCTCAGCCTGATCCGTTGTGGATTTCCACTCTCAGTGTCAGCAGGGAAGGCTGATTGGTGTGACATCTATGGGACCACAAGAACAAGACCATCCCAACTACACCCTTAGCTGTGCTCCAGAAGGAAATACTGAGCTGAAATGTGAATTATTCATGCACTTTCATACAGGGATAGAATCTGTGCTTCTGTTACTTAGCTGACAGGTTAAGACACTTCTGTATAAGCTTGAAATGGTTGGTTGGGGGTTTTTTAGACTTGACTCAAGGCTATTTGAAAAATAATTTGTGGACAAGGGTAAAATTAAGAAAAATTTTTAAAAATAGATTTAAAAAAAAAAAGTTCTATGTCTGCATTGCTTAAGATGAGCAAAAGGTTATCATTTGCCCTTGGTATAACATCTGCCAATTTTTCAAAATCAATTGATCATTTGGTGATCTCCAAACCCATTCTTAGAGTGATCAGTGATAAAATCCTATGATAATTCTATTTTAAATTCACAGCTCATCATTTGTGGACTGGGAAAAATTGATGTTAATGACTGGAAGGCAAATACTAGGTTAAAACACTGTACCCCAGACAGCAACATCGTGAAATGGTTCTGGAAAGCTGTGGAGTTTTTTGACGAGGAGAGGAGAGCACGACTGCTGCAGTTTGTGACTGGCTCTTCCAGAGTGCCTCTGCAGGGCTTCAAGGCATTGCAAGGTAACTGCTGCCTGGGCTGGGGCAGCAGATTTCAACAGATTTTATCAGTCTGAGCTGGGGGAGCCTCGGGACACTGCACAGCCCCAGCTGAGAGGGGCTGGGGCAGCAGAGATTGTGATGGGCTGGTGTCAGGCCCAAATAGCCTTTTGTGTGTGTTTGCTACCTTGTTATTCTGTTGTGTTTCAGTTCTGCACTCCCTTCTCTGGCAGGAGATCTTGGAGGGGTTCTCCCTGTGTTTGTCCCAGCAGTCTGGGTTTAACTCCTGTTAAACTCTTGCTCTCTCATCCCCCGAGCAGCTCTGGAGCCAGATGACACCACACTCTCAGACTAACACTAACACAGCACGAGCTCAGACTCTGACTTAAGAGCAGAGTCCCCTTGAGAAAGACAGACCCTGTGAATTGTATTTCTACTGTGTCTACACAGACCAGGATTTGTTTTGCTCTGGTTGGGGCATTTGTAACCTCTTCTGTCCTTTGTGGCATCTTGAGTGCACACCAAGAGTGAAGGATTGCTGTGCTGCAACCTTTTCTCTTTAGCAGATTAAGGGAATCTCTAACAGTCACATGAATTTAACAAAGTTGTAAGGAATTGGTGTTGTGACTCCTCTGTGGAATTGCTGCTCCTCAAGACCATTATACAACAGGGACAGCTGTGTAAGTTTGGTTGTCTAGGGGCAGTGAGAGGAGTTAAAAACTGTTAGAATGATGTGGTGCACTGTGTGAAAACAGGTGGTTTATCCTTCCTTATCAGCACTTTGTTCCTTATCTTTCCCTGGTTTAAATAACTGTCTGTGTGGGAGGAGAGGAGGAGTCTGAGCATAGCCACCGGGAGTTTGTTTGGAGTTTTCTCCTGTTTCTGATTTCACCTTTCTTTGTGCAGAGATTCTCTTTGTGGTTTAGTTCCTTTTCTCGTTGTGGCAGTGCAACAAAGACATGTTGTGCTACACAGTCTAGCAGAGATCTGTTCTGGCTTTTCAGGTGCTGCAGGCCCACGACTATTCACCATACACCAGATCGATGCCAGCACTAACAACTTGCCCAAAGCTCATACCTGGTAAGGCTTTTTCAGGTCTCTGTGATCTATAACTTAAGACCAATCTGCTAGCAGTGTATTTTGAGCAGCCTTACTGCTTTTGCCTTTGTCATCCCTCCAATTCTGACAGTCAAACCTGTCCTCGCAGAGGTATGAAAAACAGAGATTACTTCTGCTCAGCTGCACTTGTGTTGGCCTTGTCTTGTTTCCAGGGAGGTGTAGAGACCTTTGCTTGGTGCTTGGGGCTCAGACACTGAAGCCTCTCTCCTTCCCTCCCCTGCAGCTTCAACCGGATCGACATTCCCCCGTACGAGAGCTACGAGAAGCTCTACGAGAAGCTGCTAACAGCCATCGAAGAGACTTGTGGCTTTGCTGTGGAGTGACCCTTCCCAGCCTTACCTGAGACTCTAT